TATCTGTTGTACCTCACCGCCCAGTCTTGCAAATTGTCCCGGCTTGGTGATATTCGGCTAGGGTATAACCTCTCATTGATGGTGGTTGTTTCCTTTTCCCGGATGGAGACGCAACAAAGGTACGGCTACTTCGCGACTCTTTTCCATTTCACAATATCGACCATAGGTGTTGGTCGGTCTACCACTTCATTCTGGCCATGTAAGTTGCAGTTCATCCTGTCCAGTAGCTTGCCTCGTGACTTTTCTGCTCTGTCTTCGGCCGAATTGAGCTCACACGTATCTGGCAGGGCCCCCTTCAAGGCCATCAAGCAGCCATAAGTCTTTCCTGCAGAGCCTGCGCGCCGAAATTCCCGTGGGCGTCCCTTTTCTTTTTACTTGGGGGTTTCGACTGCAACATCCAGTCATACACCCCTTCAAGATTCCTCCGTCAGATCCACAAAGGGAACATCTTCCGCTCCCTTTTCCACCGCCATTTCCACCGGCAGCCACTCGTCCAAATCATCTTCCCTTGCTCTCTTCTTGCCGGTAGGACTCTTTTTCTGGACCACGGTAGCCACAGTGTCGTCCTCGCTGACCTCGGTCTTGATGGCTTTCATGGCCTTGGGAGAAGCCAGTTTGCGTTCGCTCTTTTTCTCACTTTCACCATCTTGTCCTCCTTTGACGACTCGATCCACCGCGGCCTCAACGTTGTGGTCGGCGTCCGGCATCTCGATGTCCTCCGCTTCAGGCGTCGCTTTTCCGTTCTTTGGCGTTTGTCCCTTCATCTCGCTGGTGCCGATTCCTCCTTTCTTGCTGCTGTGTCCGGCACCCAGCACCTCCTCACCTTTGCCGTTCGATTCCATGTCGCCACCAATAAGTTGGCCCAGCTTCTCAAGGTCTCCAACAACAAGATCCGCCTGCCGCTCGGTCATCTTGCCCTTGTCCTCACACCTGGCTACCCAACAGGCCGTTGCTCCGATGGCCCTTGCCAGGCTGAGGTACTGCTTCGAGCAGCAGGCGAAGATGACTTCGTCTTTTTGCATTGCTGTGGAATCGGTCGTCGTTGTATCCTTTTTGGCGTTCGTTTCCTCGCCAACATTCTTACCTTCCATCCATCCAGGTAAAACCTCAACCTTCCAAACCTTCGCAAACCTATCCCCGTCAATACCAGAAGCGTAGATCCCGTTCACCACCACTACGGACCCGCCGCTTGCCTGTCGGCCCACACCCTGATATCCCCTCGCTCCCTTGCCGGCAGCAGTAACACCCATGCGCCTCATGAGTTCACGGATGATCTTCACCCCGTTCGCTGGATGCGCAGGCTGTGGCTTCTTCTTCTTTTTCTTGTCATCCTTGTCGCCTACTCTGTCGTTTGAGGTCTGTGCCTGCTCGGGTAAGGAATATTTTTCAAAGCCATCCTGGGCAATGAGAATGACCACGATGACGCCCTGTTGCTTCATTTGCTTGACGAAGGGTTCAAGATCAGAGTAGATGTCAAACTCGGAGAGGAACTCGTGGGTGTAGTGGAGGTAGGCTTGGGTCCAATGGGCGATGGCGTGTTGGTAGTCGTACTGCTTTTCTTCTTGTGTGGGTGTGCTTGGGTCTCTGGCTTTAGCTTTGCCTTTTCCTTTTCCTTTGGGGATGGATTTGGTGGTGTCGGAGTTAGCGACAGCAGCAGCAGCAGCAGCAGAAGAAGAGGAAGAAGCCTGTGAAGTTGGGCTAGGGCTCGAGGAAGAAGATGTGCCAGAAGTCTTGAATGCACCAAGTTGAACGAGGGCTTCAGTAAGCGTAGCATTATGAGCAAAAGCGTTCAGGATCGTGGCCTCACTCGGCGGTAAGACGGCTGGACCGAGGATGGCGGCGAAACAGTTCTGAATTGTGCGGGTGATGATGTGACGGCCGTCGATGATGGTGTCGTGGTGGAGGAGGATGATCTTGGGCTTGGGGATGGTGCCCTGAGTGTTCGTGAAAACTGCGTTGGGAGGGTTGGGGGACTTTTGCTGGTTTGGCTCGGTCTTGGGGGAAGAGTGAGCGGTAGGGCCGGAAGTGATGGCCGGTGTGGTGAGTGCGGTGCTGTCGCTGTCTGTGCCAGTGGTTTGGGTGACTAAGGGGGATGATGATAAAAATGATGGGCAGGTGACCGGTTCCATGTCGGACAAGGTGCGTTTGGGGCTCGGCTTGGATGTGGTTGAGTGTGGGCTTGTTGGTTTGGTCGATAGTGTTTGGTTGTTCGCAACGGTGTCGATGGAGGTAGCCTCCTTCGTGGGAGGTGATTCCATTCTGAGCATGGTCTGATTGACTCTCCCTTCTCGATGCTATCGGGGGACGTTATGCGTCGCGATATGTGGAAAAAAAAATAAGAGGTGGAGTTCGTGAGCTGTCGAGGCAAAGATGTCTGCAATAGCTGGGCTTCAAAGCGATGTTCGACTAAGAATAGGAGAAGCAGTGCGATGTTGGCGGATAATTTCACTTTTCTGTGAGATGGATTGCGAACTGGTTGAAGGCGAAAGAGCTTGCATCTTGAAGAAATCATCTCACTGATATTTGGCCGCATTTTATAATGCCCGACCGGGCGGGATTATTTGTGCAGAACAGGAATAAGAGATGAAGATAGGGATATTTTGCATTTAACCCTTTACGTGCTGCATCCATACAGGAAAGAGACGAGATGACTCAGGTTTGGGAGGGGTTTGCTTGAATGCAAACAGCAAGTTATTCATCTGGCGTCACTATTCGGACGGGTTAACATCCGCTCCATGTAGATGTCCATTCACTAACACTTCTTTCATGGCAAATAAACCATGTATGTAGATAAGTAGATGGGGTCAATCAGAGGAAACGATTTTTCTATTCGGAATCTCCGACTCGGTCTGGTGAAGCTGTAAGCAAACGTGCGAGATCTGGCTGAAGACACTCAGCGGTAACTTACCGAATATCCATCGTGAGCTCAACCTGGAGCCATTATCATGCTGGCACGTGAGCATTAAAGTAAGGGAATAACTTTGTTTACATAGGCACTCTCACCACCACTGCAGCATGAGTTGGCGTGGAGGAGAGGGAGCGGATTTGGATGCAAAGGAAGACCGGAGATTGCCCGCAAGCCGCGACCATAGACCCCAGCTATGAACACTCTTCATGGCAGATGAAGAATAGAGAGAGATCTTCAGAGGCCAAAAATACTGTCGGTGGCATCAGGTTCCCGTCAGAATGCAATGGAAGAAATGGAAATGTGATGGAAGACCGGGGCGCGAAGGGCTTCGCGCATGTGACAGACGCCCAACTACCTACTGTGTATGACACCCAAGGGCCCATTTCAGTGTATAGGCCTCCTTTCATGGAAAGAGTGGAATGGAGAACAAGTTTTTGAGTTGAAAGACAAGATCATCTTGCAAGGAAGGAACAAGTGATCAGGTGTGGAAAGGGCGAGGGAAGAGGTTGTCACATAGCAGACCCTAACCCTGGTGATGGATGACGGTAAGCCAATAGGATCTACTAGATTTCCAAGAATGCCGGACAGAAACCTTGAAGAACGGAGGGTTTCAGAATTCAGATCATCATAGTTATTTGCCTGAGATTTGTTTGAAGGATTAGAAGTCGCATATCTCGCTCTCAACATTTTTTTATTTCATTTTTTCGATATCCAACCTTTGTACAATCCTCATTTTCCGTCTTCCGATCTCCAAGTCCATCCTCGCCAATTACCCCACCATGACAGCCTCCCACTCCCTCAAAGCGGCAGCACCACCTGCAATCCCCCTCACCGCGGCCCTCAACACCCACCTCGCCTCCCTCCTCCCCTCTTCTATCTCAAGAGACAGCCTCCGCACCTCGGTCCTCCCCTCCCTGCTCACCGCCATCGCCGCCACCTCCACGGCCCTCCGCAACGCCCAAGACGTCTCCCTCGCCGGCTCCTCCAACTCCTTCGGCGACGACCAGCTCAACGTCGACGTCATTGCCGAGGAAGCCATCCGGCTTTGCCTGGCGCAATGTCCCTCGGTCGTTACTGCGAGCAGCGAAGAGGACCCGGTCGAGAGACCGGTGCAGCACACCGGCTTGCCCTTTCAAGTAGTCGAGGCCGAGCAGGATCGCACCCACGGCGAGGTGTACACGGTCGCGTTTGACCCGCTTGATGGGTCGAGCATTATTGCGCCGAATTGGACGGTGGGAACAATTCTCAGCTTGTGGGACGGGACGACGGCGCTACATGCTAGCCCGAGGGAGAAGCAGATTGGTGCGGTGTTGGGCGTTTATGGACCGAGGACTACGGCTGTTGTGGCGTTGAGGTTGCCGGGGCAGGAGGAGAAGGGGGTTTGTTTTGAGGTGGGCCTCTCAGATTCTCCTCAAGGACAGGAATGGGATCTCATCCGCTCTTCGGTCTCTTACGCGCCGCCGCCTTTCAAGACGCGCTACTTTGCGCCTGCGAACTTGCGCTCGGCCAACACGCATGCGGCGTATGCGAAGCTGATCCCGCATTACATGGCGGAGAACTACACGCTGAGGTACTGCGGCGGACTGGTGCCGGATGTGGTGCATGCGCTGGTCAAGGGGCACGGAGTGTATCTGAGCCCGGTGACGGAGACGAGTAAGGCCAAGTTGAGGAGGTTGTATGAGCTGTTCCCGTTGGCGCTGGTGGTGGAGTGCTGTGGTGGTCAGGCGGTAGACCCGGTGACCGGGGAGGATATCTTGGGGGACAAGGGGGTGGAGGGATGTGATGAGCGTGGTGGCATTGTCTGCGGAACGGCGGAGGAAGTTGAGTATGCTAAGGAGGTGTTGTGTGGTTAGGACTGAGCATTGGGGGGTTTGTATGGATTTTAGGGCCAAGAGTTGCATGCGGATGTTTCAATGTTGGGTTTGTTATGAGGATTTTAGAAGCTCGGTGTTCACCTTGTTAGAATGCTGATATAGACTATAGAGATCAAGAGACTAGACAATAGAACTAGAGCGACATTTTAACGTTACACAAACTGAGAGGCGAACCAAAACAAGAGCACAGAAAGACCAAATGAGCGAAAGAAAAAGTGTGGCCCGTACCGGATTTGAACCGGCAGCTTCTATACTGCGAGCCGGCCGCATCTCAACGCGACAAGCGGACAAGTTAAGAGGTGTTTGACCATTACACCAACGAACCACGGAAAGGTGCGTAGCAAAGGGATCTTATAAACCTACCCTTGACCCATAGGTCGGGCGGTGAGAGTTGGGATCAAATGCCCACTCGGTCAATCGCCAAATTGGTAAAACGTTTGGTTTGCATGCATCTTCGCCCTATTGGCGGTTCTCAAACTAAGCTGAAGGGTATAATATCCAAAAGCGTGTTTCCAAATCCACCGATCCCTGTTCTCGTAAAGCTCGTGAAATCATCAAGTGTGGGATGACACGGCTGGCTCATCCCATCACATATAGGTACATAAAGAAAAGCTCCGTGTAGACCTGGCTTGGCCGGCCCAGGTCCAACACTCCATCATGATCTCGTGACTCGTGTCATATCTGATGTTTCCAATCCTGTCTGCGCGTATGTTGAACGGCGCAGGTCCAGTGACACATCCCATCCTCTTTCCCCCTACCCCCGCGCAACATAAAGGTACCAAGCCCAACCGGCTTCGAGTCCTTGTCCTCATTCATCCATCCTCCCAACAGAAGCCTGTCTGCCTGCATCCCGTCATCATCATCAAACCACCCATACTTAGTTGGTGAAGAGGGCCCAGTCGACACTGGTAGGATGAGAATTATCATGGCAGGTCATATGTCCCTCAGCACCCACGCGCTGGGTTCCTCGGAACTTGTTGATCGAGTCCCTCGTGAGATCAGAAATATCCCTGCTGCCCACATTGACAAGATAAAAACTGTCGCTCTTGATACCAAAAACGCAGGTGTTCGTAATGACGAGACGGCAATAGCTACCGCCGTTGAACGCCCGGTCCGCATAGTAGGCCTCGTAACGACCATTATGCTGGGCGTAGTAGTCCCTGATAGCAGCGCAATCGGAGATGAGGGGGGAAGCGTTCGTGGTCTTCCTGACGTAGGTCGAGGCGCCGCAGGAGTCGGCGTACTGAGCGCCGTCCTGCCACGCGAGACGCTTGGTGAGGGCGCCGGGGTTGAGAGACTGGCTGGCGGCCTCCATGTCGATGGAGCGCTTGAGAGCAGGGTGGACGAGGACGGTGACGTTGAAGCCGTCACTGCGCGTGAAGGTGTCCTCGACGTAGGGCTCAGTTTCGGCGATGTAAGTGTAGCCGTCGGGGCTCACTGCTGTCTTCACGGCAGAAGGGGTGAGTGGAGCAGCGGCGGCAAGGGCGTAGAGAGAGAGGAGGGCGGTGGAGAAGAGCATTTTGAGGTGAGGTTTTTGGTGATTTTAGGTGTGATGGGGCGGCAAAGGCTGTTGAAGATGTCTTGAAGGTCTGGTTGTGGGGTTAAGCAGCTGGATGAAGGAGAAAGCTGATGATGATGCTGAGGAAAATATCGCCATATTCTCGAGGAGCCTTGTGTTACTTATATATTCTTTCTGGTGCCGTAGACGACGCCAAGTAGATCTTTGATTCTGGCTTTTTCCTTCTTCATCCTCAACGCAAACAAGACGGCAATAGTGAGTTTCTCGAGAGTTGAGGCCGGGAGGAGAGATGAAATCTGCAGCCAGAGGCAAGAATGCAACCAAGTGTAGCAGTAGGAGTTGATGTCTTGTCAGTTAGATCAAGAAAACAAAGGCCAGCACTCTCACAAACCCCGCTGTCGAGTCCTTGTTACTGATCCATGGGCGTTTCGGAGTTACTAGAGAGTAGTACTCCATGACCAGAGTAGTATCCACTGGGTGGAAAGCGTTGCGATGAGGCTCGGCACCAGTGCTGTAGGTTGCCAGGTTGCATGGGGATATCTGTCAACGGCAACGCTATGCACAAGGAGCGGCCCGAACCAGTGCAGGCCGGGGAGGCTAGGTATTGTTGAGGATCCTCTTTAGTTTAGAGTCGAGACCCTTGATCAATATCTGGCATCACGCATTCCCACAGTCACTCAACTTCAACTTTTGCAAACTTTCGCATCAGCTGAGAGAGTGTAGGATTATATGCAGAGATATACTGCCACTCAACTCACAACTGGAGTGAAAATTCTGAGGGGCAAGGCTCTTGACGGGGAAGACCATTTAACTGTGAGAAACATTTGTACTGTGCTCGACGCACGACGTGTCGCTTCAGGAACACTAACAAGATCCTCAATCCTCTTTCCCGTGAACAACGTATCCAGCACACCGTGGAAAGGTCCGAACGATCCGGTTGGGGGGTTATCGTCCTATTGACAAAAAGTTGTGGATGCTCCAGTGATGATGATGATGCTGTGGCAGTGGAAGTGATGGATGTGATTGCAGAGGGGAGGGTTGAGTGTGAGGGCTATAGCTGTACTCTGACACTTGTCTCTTTGACGACCAATTGAGGGGGAGGTAGTATCGTGTATGAACCGTTGGTGACAAGACGCACCAGAGAAGACCGCATCACGCTTCTGATCTGCCTGCGTGATCATGTCGCTGATGGTGGTTGAATAGAAGACTGTGAGCATGAGGGTGCTGGTCGCGCCGTGTGAAGTCCCGGACGAAGTCAAAGCAACGCTAGCATTTCTGGTAAATAGATGTCTTGTTGCAATTGAACTGATCGTATCGCGAGACAAACAATATGGTGTTGAACAAAAAGTGTGTGATGGTGGGTTGAAGACTTGAGGTTCGAGACGGCGGTAACAGAATTCGGTGATCAGATAAAAGATAAAGGATTGCCAAGCCAATTGCATCATTCCGTCGGCTCTCCACAACCCGACGGGAAGGGTCCAGCATTTACCGCGACGAGCCGCGGTCAACACTGCCGCGGTCCCGAAAGCAGCGGAGAAGGCTTTGAAAGTCAGCAGCGAGTAGCGCCTGCTGTCAGTGGGGCTAGCAGTCGCGAAATGGGACCACCGGGCCGACAACAAGATCCCGACGAAGATCCGTTCTCTCCGGCCATGCTGCCCAAGTTCGACCACTGTACCTTTTTGTAGTGTAGTATCACGAAGACTCTTTTTGTCGTCTTTACACTAGAAACACCAGCTTTGTCTTGTGTGCCGTTGTGACCCAAAGATACCTGAGTTGGGTGCTGCATTCATGATTGTGACTGCCCATGATCCGGATCTGACTTCAACATGACCAATGAAAACTCGACTTAATTGCCCCCTTTACTGTCCTTCTAGAATCACAAGCCTCAAAGATGCCGTCCCCATGGCCGAACCCCGGGTACGCCTGTCATCCGATTCGATAGCTGCTGGAGTTCTGAACCCGTTCTGCCGTTTTGAACCGTCATTCCGGTGCGGTCTTTTTTCCTGGCTGTTCATGCTTTCACGATCCATCTTCCTCACCGATATACTCCCGCTGGATTATGCATCCCTAGCTGCCACTTCTCTAGACTTTTTCTTCTTCTTTTTTTGGGTAGTCATTGTTAATTCCTATTGTCAAGATTCTCCGACTGCCACCGTTTCCTCCTTCTTTCTACCATTCCTGTCTGTCTACTGACTCAACAGGAGCAAACTGGTTGGTCAAGATGCGCGTGACCAGTGTACCGCTCGGGCTCCCGACTACGGCGAAACCCCTCTTTCGGTCCTCGACTGCCCATTCGGCGAGAATCATCACCACACCCCGGCGGACTCAATGTACAGCATCAGCATGCGCACATACAAACGTCAACCAGTCGCGCGCCTTGGCACATGCTGCCCGTCCTGCCGCCCGCATCATCCTTCCTGCGACATTTACCGCTGGCCAAAGGAGGAGGGCGACGACTGCTACCGCCGCGGCCGCTGTTGACAATGGTTAGCCAAACTCCGATCTCCACAGTTACCTACTGGCGCCATGCCTCCCATAACGAGAGACCTTGAGTTGACTCCTTCTTGCCCATAGTAAACCCGGGAAATCTCGGCCCTATCCAAGAATACGACCGCCGAGTCGCCGCTGGGGAGTTACGAAATGACGACCACCAAAGAGGTGAGCACGCGACAACATGGAGGCCTAACCTCTACCCCGAACAAGAGCAATCCGCTAAAGAATGCGCACTCGTTGGCGCAAACAGGAATCATTCAGAACCTACAGCATCTTCACGAAGAACTCCGGCACTATGCGGCGCCGCCCGTCGTCCACCCGACCCTCGAATCCCTAAAACCCAACAAGTCGCTTTTCTCCTTCTTCGGCGGCAAGCCAAAGAGCGCCATCGCCGAAATCCCCGCCAACCTCCCCCGCGGACTCTACCTCTACGGCGATGTCGGCTGCGGCAAGACCATGCTTATGGATCTCTTTTACGACACATTACCCCATAACATCAAGTCCAAGACGAGGATACACTTCCACAACTTCATGCAGGATGTCCACAAACGCCTCCACAAGATGAAGATGCAACACGGCAACGATGTTGACGCCGTGCCCTTTGTCGCGGCCGACATTGCCCAGCAGGGAAGCGTTCTCTGCTTCGACGAGTTCCAGTGCACCGACGTCGCCGACGCCATGATCCTTCGCCGCCTGCTCGAGGCTCTCATGTCCCACGGTGTTGTGCTTGTTACGACCTCCAACCGACACCCCGACGAGCTCTATATGAACGGTATCCAACGCGAGTCCTTCATCCCCGCCATCGAACTTCTCAAGAACCGGCTACACGTCATCAACCTGAACTCGAACACCGATTACCGCAAGATCCCCCGCCCTCCTTCCGGCGTCTACCATACCGCGCTCGACGCCCACGCTGCCTCCCACGCCGAGAAGTGGTTCCGCTTTTTGGGCGATCCCGAAGACTCCGAGCCGCACTCCGAGGTGCAAACTGTCTGGGGCCGCGAGATTCACGTACCTCGTGTCAGCGGCCGTTGCGCCTGGTTCACGTTCGACGAGCTAATCGGCCAGCCGACGGGTGCGGCTGATTACATTGAGCTGATGCGCTCTTACGACGCCTTCATCGTCACCGATATTCCCGGCATGACTTACCGTCAGCGCGATCTGGCCCGCCGTTTCATTACCTTCATTGACGCCGTATACGAGTCGCACGCCAAGCTCGTCCTGACGACCGCCGTGCCCCTGACAGAGTTGTTCGTTTCCCGGCAGGAAATGGAGGAGTCGCTCAAGAAGCAGGGCAAGGCTTTGGACCCGAC